AATTCTCAATTAGTAGTTATGTTATTCTTCTGAGAAGGAGAAGCATGAAGTTTGAGGTTGGTTGACAATGGAACTTGCTTGCTAAATTTTGATGAAATGATTCCAAAACAACAATTGCTGGAGAAAAAAGCTGAATGCGCCACTTAAGTTTGGGTCAACTACAAAACAAGGGTGTATGAAATTCAACTTTAACAACGTATATTTTCAGCAAAATATTGAACAACTCATATGTCAGAGCATACTTCAACATTTATATGACAATCAAATTTACCAAGCAAAAAAGGTTGTACGGGACAACCCAAGAGTTGTCCAAAAACTGTTCTCTTATTAAAACTTTTGCTCATGTATTTCGCCTTTTGTAAATTAGATAAGAATTGACTCCTTTTGAAGTGTGATTAGTAAAGCTTTTTGGGTATTTAAACTTACAACTGCCGTCTGTTTTCATACAAGAATTTGTAGGGTTAAGATTACCACAAGGATCATGCATCATGTGTCGAATAACGAGTGAGTATAAATCTGGTTCTACATCTTCATCAGGTATTTTTGCGCTAATAATATCGTCATAATCTTCTGGCGTTAGCAACTTGTATTCATTAGCTAGTATTAGAAGGAAATGAGCATGAGGTAAACCGCGTTTTTGAAATTCTACTGTATACATAAAAGCTGCAACCTTTCCAAAAGTATTTCGTATTAGGATATCCGTTTTTAATTCTTCTATTTTTGCTCTAAACACTCGGCTAATGAGATCAGGTCTATTTTGTGTTTCATCCACTGATGCTAAATGTTCCTTTATTTCTGGCCAAGATGGATTACATATTATGGTTATAAATAAATCAGGTTTACCGAAGTGCTGAACTAACGTGATAGCATCCATATACCGTTGACGCATATCTCTAGGCCCACCAATAAAAGAATTTGAAAGAAATTTCTTTTTCCCGATATTTGAAGCGTCTCTTTCACCAAATCTCAAAATATCAATGAATCCCTGCAGTACATCTGTAATAAATCCTGATTAAACCAAATAAAATCCAACCTTTGTGTTTCAAGTTTTATATATTCGTCGACCGTATATTGTTGAAATATATACGGTGTGACCCACGCACCTGCCATCATCGCAATGGCATCATCTTAATACCAGAATGCCACCCACTTTGACCATACGGAAACAACAACGGGTATTGTAAAGCATCATAGCATCCATAGTAAGATACTATTGCTGTGAGTATAGATTTGAATGTGCGGCGCACGAATAGCACTACCATCATTTCCTTCAACCCATATTGCTGCAATCTCAGTTGAGGTAGGCAGATTATATACTCGCTGGTCTAAACCTGAGTCACTTTTAAGAGCAATATACAAGTCCTCAAGGTTAGAAATGTCTATCGGAGATCGTAGAAAGATAGAATATGGATTGATTGATAAAATGTCCATCAGTTCCTTCACTATTGTTTCATGGACTTTACTGGAACAAGCCATTCTGTATGTTAATTCATTACTATTATCGTAGAAGTACAGTTGTAGGTTTTTTGGTTTTCCATCTCGTGGATACAAATTATCCATCAAATGATACATTTGTCCTTGAACTTTAAAAGTATATACACCACGGTTTCTTTTAGCTAGATCTTTATCATATTTTGCACCGAGCGATGTAAATGCAAAGAGGTTATTATACGATCTTATATACGTACGGAAGTGTTTACACTCTTTACTATTTCCAAAATACAGATTTCGTAATTTCGCTGGCATCTTATGAGAAGTTAATTTGACTGTGCCATTGTCACAACAAAATCCAGGAGGTTCATATTCAAATCTTTTTGCACGACAATTTACGACTGGGAACTTAAGTTGATCGTTGATGACTGATGTTGGGAGGGAACGCTATAGTTCTCCTACAACCTGTATATTTGAAATAACATCAGACACAAAGTAAACCAAACCGCGAAGGATGTGTTGGTTGGGTAAGAGAACCAAAACAGACCTCCAGACATAGCTAGCTCGGATATTATATTTTGTTGCCTATCAGATGCCGCTGATGTTGAACCTAAAGCCAAGAAGATAGTTGTTAAACATGCCCAAATATTAGCTGATATTGTGCCGAGTAATGCGGGACTGTACACACTCACCTTTTTCGTAGGTGTAAAATGGATGCTCTATAGAGTTTATAGGACATACAGAATTGGGTACCATTCTAGTTGGGTTATGAGGAGTTGCATTTTCAAGAAGTCTACGTCTTTTTGATTCCTCATATTTGAATTTACGTTGTGATGACAAAGCTTGCTTTTCATCTGCTGTCATGTTTTTGTATTTTTCACGCCGTTTGATATTCCTATTCGTTTGGGAAAGAGACTTTTTATTTTGTTTTGCATGATCCATCACAGTAAAAATGTAATGCTTTGATAGATGTCGTTCAAACTGTAATCAAACCTTCACTGGCACAATGGACCCCATTTAGTAGGAAAATTAAGAAGAAAGTAGATATTTCCAATCCAAAATAACACATAAGCACAGTAATGAATAAAATTATTTAGTATACTATATATGTAGTATAACCATTGGAACACACATTCTTAGTCACTTGAGGTTCCTTATGTTTTTAACCGTGAACTAATACTAAAGAAAATTTAGAAACGCAAGAATCAGAACACACAAAGAAAAGGTAAAGGAACCAAGGAAAGTAGAAAGAATAACTATGCATGTCATTATGAGCATCACAATTGAGCAAGTGTAATTTGATCATATGTGAGTTAAAGTTTCAAAGATCCTCCAAAAGAATAGTTCTCTAAAAGTTAAACACTTCCAAAAACATTGTAATTTTCTTCAGTATTACTGACCCATCAGATGAAATCAAAATAAACTTATTGACAGAGAGAAGCAAAATGGATTGTTAATATTACTGTTGATGTGTTTCAAGTTATTTTCTTCACTTCCAAACACACACGAAGAAAGATGTGCAACAAGATTTGAAAAATTTCTTCCTCCATATTATGCTTTTGGCGGGATTACGTAAACACAAAAAATTCACAACGACAGAGAAACGTAATAGGGAAGACAAACTTACCAGGTTGAGATGAGAAAATATGGAAGCCTCAAAGCAGAGAAAAACAGAGAATGAGAAACAGAGGATGTTCTGGGGTTTTTTTGTAGAGTATACCACCGACCTTTTAGCTTCCATGTTAATCTTATTTTTCAAGATCTGTCCTTGACTGTGCGTAAAATCAATCTCTGCAATGATACAAGGAGACATTTGTCACTTAATCAAGAGTTGGGCACTGATCTACTTTTTTAACCACTGTAGAAAATTATTGTACTTTCGTTCCACATGAGCGTCTGCATATGTTGAGATCTTTTTATCTCCTACTCTATTTTTGTTGACTTGGAACTTTGAGCTTTTTGGGCTTTGTATGTGGGCTTGTATAGCTTTTTTGCTTTCTGTCAATCACAGTTAATGCTTTTGGACTTTCCATCTTCTTCTTTTCTTTTTGTTTCTTAAATATTTATCTCTTTCTTGAGTCAAGGACAAGACTTTGAAAGAAAATTGTAAGGATAAATGTAGAACTTTAACAAATGAAGATCTACTATTGTGAGGACGACAAAACTCTTCCTTTTGTCACTTATTAATATTAGTAAATATATATTTTCTTCTTAAAATAGCAAACAAGGAAACAAAGAAAGCAAACGGTTAGTTTGTAATGTTATATAATGGAATTGTGACATCTTACTCACTGAATTGTTCTTGCATAGACCACCTTAGGATTAAATTGGGTGATCTTTACTTGAATAATCGATCGGATTTGTAGTTACGTTTTCTAGCCGGTATACACAAATTATATACTGATTATATACGTTTATATACATAAATATATATTAAATGGATCATATATACATAATACATATTTCAGTTATTTTTAGTTTAAGCGATTAGGTGGAGAGTTATTTACATTAATTCTTTGAAATTGGAGCATCATGGTTGCAAGTCGCTTATTTCGGTAAAAATTGCACGTGGCGCCTTATTTGGTCGCCCCCTTTTAACTTATACCCGTTTTGTTTTTCAGTTTGCATCCATACCCATTTTTGTTAAAAGCCTTTTAAAAAGACGATTTTTCCCTTCAGGACTATTGACAAAACTGTAGACTGCAAGACAAAACTTCAGCATGTTTTGGCATGAAGTTTTAGCAAATGAACTAAATAACTTAAGCATGTTTAGTCTGAAGTTTTAGCAAATTAACTAAATAACTTAAGCATGTTTAGTCTGAAGTTTTAACAAATGAACTAAACAACTTCAGCATATTAGCAAAACTCATTAGAAAATTACATACTGCAAGACAAAAACTTAAGCATGTTTAGTCTGAAGTTTTCGCAAATGAACTAAATAACTTCAGCATGTTTAAATCGAAGTTTTAACAAATGAACTAAATAACTTCAGCATGTTTAGACTGAAGTTTCGAATAAAACTCATGACAAAACTGTAGACTGCTGGATAAATAACTTCAACATGCATTATCATGAAGTTTTAGCTTCAATGTAAAACAACTTTAGCTGCTACTGTAATTGGCTGAAGTTTTACACCATCTCGCATGCTAATGAATAACCCCTGATACTGTAAAACAACGTCATCTCCAAACGTTAGCATGCTGCTACGTTTATTAGGGGTTGTTTTACAGTATGCTAATGTGAATGAGGTCATCTCCAAAGTAGCATGCTAATGCTAATGCTTCAATGTAAAACAACTTCAGCATGCATTTCATAGATAAGGTTGCAGATCACGCAATTTATCAGGGATGTAATTGTTATATTATTACGGATTTTTTGTCAACTGACTACTAAATCAATAATTTTAAAAAATAAGGTACAGATGAAAAGGATGCACAAATATAAGGTATGGCTGCAAATCCCCTTATTTCGGTATTTTCGGGAGTCCAGACTGCTTTATTGGGCCTGATCTGTTTGTTATTAGCTAAAAAAGAAGGGCCTAAATAAGGAGCCCAAATAAGGAGACACGTAAAACGGCTAGATCAAGCCGAAGAAAAAACGATGACGCACTTCTCCGGCGAATGTTCTCTGTCCCTTTCCTCATAATAACAAAACCTCTCAGATTCACAAAATCAGAGAGGATTAGGACGAGGACGAAGAGCAAAACTCGCCAATTCTATGTCGAAATTCGCTGAAACGCGTGATTCGTAAAATCAACAATCGGTGATCCATCTTTCATCGACAAGGCGTTTAAGAAAAACTCAAATCCACTATTTTGGTTGAATTTCCGTATATATTTTAATAATTTGTAGAGAAATTAGAGTGTAAGGATCTCAAAATATGGATAGTTTCATCAGTAAAATACGGAATTTGGATGCGTATCCGAAGATCAATGAGGATTTCTACAGCAGAACACTTTCAGGAGGTGTCATAACCCTAGCTTCTTCCATCATCATGACATTGCTTTTCATCTCCGAGCTCCGTATGTTTCCTCCTATTTTTTCTCGCTATTTTTATTTAGACGAATCTTAATGCATTTGTGTCAAATTACATTTGCCAATATTTATAGTAATTCACCTAATCAGTAAATTCATCTTCTCTCCAGCCTTTTGATTTGAATTGTGGGAAGCATAGTAAAAGTCGTTCAAACTTGCTTAAGTAGAAGACTGCAGTTCCTTTCTGTCATTCGTACATTCTGTTTATCTTTTATTTGATGTAATGAGATTCTATGAATAAAAGGATGTGGGAACATATATCTCTTTAAGCTATACAAATTTGTTACTTAGTTATGTTGCTTTTATCAGTCAGGCAATTTTCAGAAGTCTGTGTATTCTTATCTGTGAAATTGAATGTTTTTTAGTAATGTACTTTGTGTTCATGTGCATTTCAATTAGTTGACTACACCAATTGGACATTTCTTTAAAGTTAAATGGAAATCAAAGTTTCTAGCCGATTCATAAGTGACTGCAAATAGTTTGGCTGCTGAAGTGCATTGTATTCAACCTCTCTATTTTTATGTTACCTTTAGCTATATGTACTGAACATACAGGTGGCATGGCATTAGATTAACGTGATGTTTATTATGTATTGTTACTATACTCGCTGTTCTTTGCCCTTTATTGTTCTCCTGGCCTTTTTATTAGGATTATATCTTCATGCTGTCACTGAGACAAAGCTTGTTGTGGATACTTCAAGAGGAGAAACGCTGCGCATCAATGTAATAGTACTCTCACCTTGAGGCTAAGTGATGTAGTTATATGAATCTGAGTTTTTGAATGTCTTAATGCTCTAATATTTCATTCGTGTTCCCACTTTAGAACTTGTCAGTCTCTTCCACTATAGTATTGTATTGGCCTAGAAACTTATGCTTATTGCTGAGGCCTGAAAGAAGCTGATCTGAATTCAAATAGTTCATTTGATTTCTTTTCTGTCCATATCTCTGGAAAAGCGTTTAGCATACAAGTATGCATACCCATTATACCATAATTACAAAAATGCTATATAGAAGTGCATTTTTGTTTAACTCTTGAAGGAATCCCAATACCCCCCCCCCCCCCCCCCCCAAACCCCAAGGAAAAAGAAAAAAAGGAGAAAAACCATGACTGCAAGGAGAAGTTCTTTTTTCCTCTCTTTTGTGGTTCACTAGAAAGAAAAGAATTAGCTTATTGGTACTTAAAATGTTTTATTTTACTAAATTAAAAATCAATCTTCTGATATACGACTAACGAACTGATTTTTAAGGAACTATAGGTATGTATAGGATCCAAATGAATCATTGAAATTCTGAAGGCTATTGACCATATTGAAGATAATAAGGAAACAATATTAACAATCAAATAACGACAGTCTTTTTTATCATAATAACTCTTTTAGGGGAAACAACCTAAAGGATGCTGCATCTAAGCACTAAAACTATGCCCAGCAAACACGTTTATTTACCTCTAGCTCATGGCTTTCACTTGAATTATTAATTTTTTATATTCTCTTTACTCATTTTAGGCAAAGTCGCTTATTGTGCTTCTTTCTTGTCACATATCAATTACTTTGACTATTAAGTAGACGAATTTGAAAGAACATTCTAGCTGCATTGTCAGGTGGCATCAATGTTGTTTTGTATTATATATGATGTTTTTTACTGATATGATAGTATATGATGGGCTGTTTGACAATATTATAATTAGAGGATGCTCTTAAAAGGCTCCTCCGTCCCAATTTATGTGGCGATGTTTGATTGGGCACAAAGTTTAAAAAAGATAGAATGACTTTTGAAACTTGCGGTCTAAATTAAGCCATAGACATTTGTGGTTGTAAATTATCTCATTGAGGGAAAAATAAAAAGTTCAGAATAAATAGTTTCTAAATATAGAAAGGTGTCATTCTTTTTGAGACAAACTAAAATGAAAAGTATGCCAAATAAGACAAAAGAAGTAAAAGTTAGCTCATAGAATAATCAGAAAAGCAGTTAAAGTTTAAAGTTAGCTGCTCTGACAAGTACTCTAGTTTTAAATTTTTAGATATAGGTTAAAACTTCCATACTTGCATCAACAAATTATTATTTATATTTTCATTTTGATAATGAATTTCCTTCACAATTTAGAATAATTGCTTTGACTTCCAATACAAAGTAGATATCTTTTAGACATAACTTGGAGCAGCTTTAGGTAATATTTACATTCTCTAGGTTGAACTCCTGATTTGCTTTTGCAGTTTCTCGTATTATAGTCTGAAGGATTCCTTTTCTGTGTTTAACTATGTATTATTCTTGATCTATGAGTCGTTTAGAAATGAAGACTGACTTCTGATGTTGCTTTGATCTGAAAGTACAGTTTGATATCACCTTTCCAGCACTTCCATGTTCGATTCTCAGTGTTGATGCCATGGATATCAGTGGAGAGCAACATCTTGACATTGTATGTGCAGTAAACAGGTTATATTGATCAATTACTAAGTTTCTAATTTCCCAGCACCACATGATTTCATTCTCTTGAATGCTACTTTGGTGTTCCTAGAGTTATATGACCTAATTCTCTTCTAGGATTATGGTCCACATTGAGTTGTCAAGCTTTATGAGACTTTATGGAAGTTCATATCAGTTATTACAGTCGAGTAACTATTGTATTTATAAGAGGATTTGAGCATACATACGGACGGTATAGAGAACCTTACACTATCAGTCTAGCTAATAGACTGGTTATAGTAGGTCACTTATTTACAGGGTACCAATCAATACCTGCAGTTGTCTTAAATGGGCTGATTGTGTAAATACTTTTTATATCATCAATGTGTAATACTTAAACTCTCTACAATATTAGATGAGATTAAGTTAAATATCGAGCCAAAATCATTTTGGGAAAATGCTTGAAAATGAATAAGATTAAGTTAAATATCGAGCCAAAATCTTTTTGGAATATTGCTTGAAAATGAATAGCACCAAAAATTTAGTAAATCAAGAAAATAGGGTAAAAGTCGAATTACGTCAAAATGCTTAAGCATAAAATTCCTTTATTAAATGACGAGAATAATATATTTATCCTTATTAAATGACGTGAACAATATATTTATTGGTATGGTATTCTTGTAATGCAAAATGGTGAAAGCGAGTGTGTGAGCTTTAATGAGAGTGTATACAACATGACATGCAAAGAAATATAATCTTCTAAATTGTTTATGCTTCTGTAAGCTAATAGAGTTTCTTTTAAATGAACTTTAAGTGCTATCTAGTAAGTATCTGGCACTAGAGAGCTGCTCTAAGATTACAACAACAAACCCACTGTAATCCCACAAGTGGGGTCTGGGGAGGATAGTGAGAACTCAACTTTACCCCTACCTTGTAAAAAGTGTTTTTTTTTTTTTTTTTTTTTTTTTTTTATTTTGCATGGTGCAGCCCATGATGCAATTTCTTCCTTTAATAATTTGATAAAAAGTAAGTATTTTATTAGGCTAAATTCATAGATAGCCCCTCACACTTGGCACTAGCTGCCAAGTAGACACTTTAACTTTGCTAATGATCATTTAGACACCTTAACTTGACAGAATCGTATCTGTGCATACCCTGGGCTGACCTGGCAAGGTGTGTAGTATATTCACTTTTCAGCATGCTGGGTCTTCTCCCTCCTTATCTCCCTCTCCCCGACGACCTTCATGGGTTTCCACCTATACAAAACCCAAACCCACCATGAATTGTGAAGCCTCCCCGCGCCAATAAACCTCAAATTAGACCATACCCTCCAAGCCACCATTTTCATTTCTTTGTTCCTTTCTGCCCCTTTTGTATGAAGTAAGTGATGTATTAAAAACAAAAGCATCCAGAAGATGCATGATTACAAAATAATTAAAGGAAAATATCAGCTCTCCGAAGAAGAGCAAAAGATCTATCATAAGATTAATGAGCTGATAAATTCCAGAAAAAGGTTAGGGTTATAGGGTAAAATTAACCCAACAAAAAAAAGGAAACCGAACATTTGCCCTTGAGCAAATAACTAGTAGTTGAGGTGCGATCAAACATCTTTGGTTCCTTTCTGTCCATAGGCACCACAAAATAGTAGCAGGAACCATGGACAAGATCTTCTTAATGGACTTCTCAACTTTCCAAGATCTCCAGCTGACAAAGGCTTCCCTGACACTGCAATGGATAGTCCAATCCAATCCAACAAGTGATAAGAACATAGTATGTCTATTGCAACTAGTTAGTGGAGGAACAAGTGGTTGATTGTTTCGGCATTGCAAAGGCACATATGGCATCTGTTAGCTAGATGAAAACTTCTTCTGATGCGATTGTCTTGAGTTAGGCATGCACTATTTATAGCTATCCAACTAAAAGCATTAAATTTTGGGGGCATTTTAATCTTCCATATAAGTTTTCAAGGCCACTGATCAATCAATTCTTTGTTGAAGCTCAAAATATTATAACTAGCTCTGACTGAGTATGACCTTTCCCTGCTGCCGCCCCCATTGAGTCTGTCCCTACTTTGGGAGTTGAGTAGTCTGTTCTGTAGGCAACCAAGAAGTGCTATTAGATCTTTAATTTGCCAATCATTTAGGTTCCTTCTTAAACTTGGATTCCAAGTGTCCCCCTCCCTATTCTGTGCAGTGGTAGTCTGAATTAGTTGTAATTGAGAACAATCTTGGATAAGCATCCTTCAGGGTAGATAGCCTGTTAATCTTTCCAGAATAGAATGTGTTCCCCATTTTCCACTTGAAATGATGTATTGGTGTTGAATTCATCCCATAGCTTTATGATGCCCTTCCATGGCTCACATCCATAAGATGATCTAACAGTATTGGAGTACCATTGACTATCACATCCATACTTAGCTTCAACCACCTTCTTCCAGATACCAACTTCTTCTTGATTATATCTCCAATGCCATTTCATTAACATGCTCTTGTTGTGTACCCAAATCCTTCACCCCCAATCCCGCACGTGTTTTTGGAAGTATAACTTTGGCCCATTGACAAGGTGAAAATTATGAGTTTTATTGTTTCCCTCCCATAGGAATGAACATCTGAGTCTATCAAGCTGCTTTTGAACTTTGTTTGAAATTGGAAAGAGGGACATAAAAATAGGTTGGAATACTGAACACTGTTTATAAGAGTTAGTCTACCCCCTAAGAGAGATATTGCTCCTGCCACGATGTAAATCTTTCCTCAAAATTTTCAAAGACCACATTCCATAATTCAGTTGATCTATGTCTAGTACCCAAGGGAAGACCTAGGTATGTTGTAGGAAATGAGCTAGTAATGCAGCACATAATATCAGCCAAAAGCTCCAACTTATGGACCACATTAACAGGATATATGATACTTTTTGACATGTTAATGTGCAACCCAGACAAGGCTTCAAATATCCTTCGAGTGAGGTTGAGGTATGGAACTTAGGACTTCTTAGCAGCACAAATAATTCATTGACAAACAGTAAGTGAGACATAAAAACTGATGGACCAGAACTTCACCTACATCAAAACCCTCCCGCCAGTGCAACTGCTTAGCCTTTTCCAGCACTCTACTAAGTTCCTCCATTGCCAGAATGAATAAAAAAGGAGATAAGAGATCCCCTTGTCTAATCCCTCTTTTGGGAGAGAGAAAAACCACAGGACTTCTATTAACAAGAACATAATATTCAAGTGTGGAGAAGGTATATTTAATCCATTTGATCCAATTCACCCCAAATTCCATCTGCATCAGAAATGAGATTAGATACTGCCAATTAATTTGTCAAAGGCCTTATCACTATCAAGCTTAAAGTGTAGTCCAGGTAGACTAGGTTCTCCACTTTTTTTGTCTCTATTCCATGACTTCATTAGCAATGAGTGTAGCATCTGTAATCTGCCTACCTTTAATAAAGGCATTCTGGCAGCCAGAGACCGGTTTCCCAATCACCCTTTTCAACATCTCAGCTAACACTTCTGCCACTATCTTATAGACACTGTCAGTGAGGTTTATAGGCCTAAAATCTTTAAGTATGAAAGCTATGGAAGAGGCATTAAAAGATTTTACCATGGCAGTTGCTGTGAAAATGATTGAAAGTTCCCGTAACATCCAACTTTATAGTCTCCCAGAACTTTTGATAGAAGGCCATTGTAAATCCATAAGGGCCAGGGCTTTTATCAGGTGCACAAGAATTGATGGTATTTAGGAGTTTTTCCTCCTTGGAAACAGTTTGTGTGCCTCCGTCTCATCATTGTTCAGGCAACCCAAGCCTTGAAACGTAGCATTAGGTCTCGAGCTTTCATTCTTAGTTTATAGCTCTTGATAAATTATTTCTGTTGTTCTCTTTAGGAAAGGAAAATAAAAAAATGGGGAAGACTTAATAGGAAATGGGTAAAGGGAAGAAAGGGAAGGAAGGGGAAGCTAGGTACACACTATGTTTACTCGGACTCTTGAAAAATGTTGTTGGGTGCGTGTCGGATCCTCCAAATTTAGTTCATTTTTGGAGGATCCGACACAGGTGCGGCAACACTTTTGGAGAGTCCGAGCAACATAGGGTACAAAGACAATATCATAAACGCCAACAACTTAAGGGACAAATGGAACGAATAAGAAGGAAAGTTAGCTTTTCTAAGTATTGGTCAGTCTAAATGCCTCGATGCAAATGGATCCGTGCTCATTAACTCAGGTCTCAATGTTGCCTGGTTCTCTTTGTCTCTATGAGATTCTATCGCTAGCAAGTACTTCTATCCTCAAGTTTTCCAGTCCAAGTATCCTTGTCGGCAGGCTTCATGCTGGAAAAAATGGCAATTCCATCCATCCTGGGAAAGTGTAAGCTGAACAAATTCTTCTACACCCTTCACCCGGTCCACCTATGAAACCCAGACATTCCGTAGCCAACCTGCATAAATTAGTTCTAGCCTATTTTTTCCGACTACGGTAACCCTTCAATGGTGGCGGCAGTAGATGGTGGTTGTGCAATAACAACAGCAATACCTACAAGATTAAGAAGAATAAGCAGGCCCGCGGGGGGGGGGGGGTCGGGGGTCTTAGTTAAAAAGAAAAAAAGTACGGTACGGNTAAACCCAAATAGCCGCCCACCCAACTGCTTAAACTTAAAATAGCCAGTGGAGGTATAAGGGGGAGGGGGGAGGGGGAGTGGTCTGTTTTGTAAAAAAAAGAAGTGGGAGGGGGGAGGGTGTTTGTGTGAGTTTCACGCAAATGGTTTCCTTGACACAATATCCACAAGACACACTTCTTTCAAGTAAATGTGTCTAGATGATCATTGGCAAAGTTGAAGTGTCTACTTGGCAGTTGATTTCGCCTTCCTATTACATAGTGCTTCTTGTTATATCATATATGTTATGGGTGTGGTAACAAATTGAAGATAAACCCAAATAGCCGCCCACCCAACCGCTTAAACTTAAAATAGCCAGTGGAGGTATAATATCTGCATAATTCATGTATTATATGTGCATAATCGTGTATAATTAATGTATAATGTATGTATATGCCTAAAAAAAAGTGAACAATAAATATGGCTAGCTATTTGTGTAAAGATCCCTAACAAATTATCTACTGCATCCCATGGTGCAATTTCTACCTTTTATAGTTTGAGGAGAAGAAAATTGTCTGTTGCCTAATGATTCATGTGTAAATATTGGAAAGGTAACAGATTACCTACTGCATCTCCAGAGTAGTTTGTAAGGAAAGGATAGTAGAGGACTTCGAGGAGTTGAGAACTTTCCATAAGATATAAGTGTTCTTTCATCATTTGGGTTGATTTTTGGTTAAAGGAGGATGTTCCCTGGTATTGATGCTTGGCTTGATGTGTTGGAGGCCTTGAGTCTCACTTAGTTTGTATTATTCTCTTTCTTTAGAACTAACCTAATGTTCTTTCCTAGCACTAATTTCTGAATTATCAAGAAATAAGTACTTAATTGTTTAAAGACACAAAGAGTATATTGCAACTAGACAGCAAGAGGGCTTATTTGGCAATATTGCAGTGGAATGTTAGGCCATTTTTGAAAATAATAACCAGAGTTGTGGAAGTAAAAGATGGTTTGGGAACTACCAGCACTAGTTATTGGAATTCTAACTCTGACGCATATGATCTTTGGGTTTTTGTATGATGAGATTACATTTATACTTGCAGAGACATGACATTATCAAGAAAAGGATTGATGTTCACGGTAATGTGATTGAGACAAGGAAGGAGGGCATTGGTGCTCCTAAGGTGAGATACAAGTACAGGTTACTTTCAGCTTAATAGAATGCACAAGTACCTGTTTATGTCCTAGTTTAAGGAATTTTTTGCATGGAGAATTATACTTGACTGATGTAAAGCTTCTTTTATTTTATAAAAGGTAACTGATATAGATATTTATTTAATTTGTTTCAACTCTTATAGCTGCTAAAGACATAGATGTAAAGAAATTGTTTTGGCTTTTATTTGCATTCTGAATTTTCATGGATCCAATACCAAGAATAACTTTTGATTTTGGAAACATGCTTCATTGATTCCTTTCAAGTTTCGATCACTGAGTCTATTCCACTAACAGATTGATAGGCCTTTGCAAAAGCATGGAGGAAGACTTGAGCACAACGAAACATATTGTGGTTCCTGTTACGGTGCTGAAGGGGTTTGTTCCTATTCTTAATGCTAGAAATCTCTCACTTAGATTGTAATATAAGCTTTAGTATCCATTCTTTTTTGTGAATTTAACTTCATCTCTTTTTCTACGTTCCTGCATCCAATCTTTTTGGGTTCCTTGATTATGTCACGATACAGATAACTATCTCATTGAACTGCTTCTCATAAGTCCCCAACCCTGAATTCCTGTCAACTTTGCAGTCAGATGATCATTGTTGTAACACCTGTGAAGATGTTCGTGAAGCCTATCGAAAGAAAGGTTGGGCATTGTCAAACCCAGATATAATTGACCAGGTATGTTTCTATATTGGCAGGTATATTGGCAGTTGATCATCGAAGGAGTTACATGTCTTGTCTGTGTCTTTTCTCTCCAAATTATTCCCTGAAACTGAAGCCATTTTTCCTCTGTAAAAGCTTGACTACCGTGGCTTCTTTCTTTTTTGAAGATAGAAGATCTAAGAAGTTAACATTATGGCTTGCTATGTTAAGGCCTTAAAGTATCTCAACCCTACCTCCTAAGTGTTTGATGAGTCTTGAATGAAGATCTGGTTTTCATTTTGAATCCTGTATCGAAGTTATGCAGCATAACATGGATGTGATAGAAGTGCTGTGAGCAATATGGTCTCACAATCCCAACAAACATATGCGGACATGATCATTTGTGTACTTGTATGTTAAATGAAATGAGTGTGATTAATCCACCTTTTTGTTACTCTATGGAGAGGTTAATAGTGACCATTCGACGCTGTGCATTTTATGCATTAGTTCTGAGGACAGTTTATTTGCTCTGAAGATTGGTTATACTCAATGAATTTTGCTTATTAGAATTCTGTTAAGAGTTAAATACACAAACAGTATATGATTTTATTCTGATAACAAAGATCTCTCTGGTAGTTTTAAGAAAAGCTATTTTGTGTTAAAAAACAGTTTTCAAGCAACTTTGAAATAAAAGCCTTCTCTGGAAACCGAAGCTACTTATTTGAAACATTTATTGCAGACTCTAAAATATGGATGAGTTTAATTGTTCCGTCTCAAGGATTAGTCTTTTTCCAATGATCTTTCCCAGCTTCTTCACATATATAAGATATAGAACGTAAATCATGAAGGAAGAAGAGTTTAGAAAAAGAATCTAATTTGGAGTATAGCTTTATTTTTCCCCCCTTTTTTTATCTGATACAAACACGAAGGAATAAAGTGAAACCATTTCAACAAATGTGAATGGAATTGGCAAGCTCTAGAAGATTTAGATGCCAGAGAAAAGAGCAAGGAACAAATGGTAGACAAAGCCATCAATTCTTAGGAATATAGTACTGTTCCCTAACTGCTCAAATAGGGGAGGTAATGATATTTCAAAATAACCAGGGATTTTCTTTATCTGAGCAAACCTCGGGATGGAATAATAAAATTAGTACATTGTTCTATTCAAAGGTAAATAACTTGTAGAATGTTAAGGAATAGAGTGTAGACAGCTTTTAAAGAAGTGTTTATTTTTGAGAGATCGATTCTTTTAAACATTTTCTTTGACAAATAGTTGGATGGAATTTCTTTTATTAATGAAAAATAAAAATGGAGGAGAAACGAATCAACTGGTTTTTGCTCTTGATGAACTTCCTGCAACTTCTGCAGGATTTGGTTTGTGGAACTTTTAGCCAAAGTGGAAATGTAGAAATATGGCTGCCCACTATCCCAATAGAAAAAACAGAAAGATGTGTAAAAATCCATTTCACATTTCTCACTCCTATCGAAACCAAATGTTCCTTCAAGGCTTCAGTTTTCTTGCTTAACATGGGAACATAATATTTTTTGACAAGTAGACACAAATAGATATATGATCTCTGTTAGTCACAGGAAACTAGGCAACACTTTACAAAGTGCTAAGTGGTAAATTCTTGTTTCTTTGCTTAAGCTATGGAAGACTCCCTATTATTCTGGATGATAAAGTCCCAACTATACTGTGTTAGTTTCATGTCTTTCAACATATTTTCCATACCTATTAGTATTCAATAAATATGAAAAGAATGCATGGTTGTTGAGCTTTAATATTTCATGATGTGCTAATTAAAAGCATGGCTGATCTTTCATTTTTCTCCTTTGAAATTCATTTGAGTCAGTGTAAAAGAGAGGGTTTCCTAGAAATGATCAAAGCGGAAGAAGGTGAAGGATGTAATATGTATGGGTTCTTGGAGGTCAATAAAGTGGCCGGAAATTTCCACTTTGCACCGGGGAAGAGTTTTCAGCAGTCAAATGTTCATGTCCATGATTTGCTCACCTTTCAGAAGGATAGTTATAATGTAAGATGTTCTCATAACTTGGTTCATCTGTTCATCTTTGGTTTTGGTGCTTTAATATAACTTTACTGAAAAAATTTGTTTGACAGATTAGTCACAAGATCAATAGATTAACTTATGGAGAATACTTCCCAGGTGTTGTGAATCCTCTTGATGGGTACATCTCTTTCACTAGTCTATACTTTGTTCACTTGTGTCTTTATATGATGGATGTATGATGGCACTTAACCATATTGACTGCTTCTTCATTGTTTAACCCACATTGCAGTGTAACATGGACACAAGAGACACCCCATGGCTTGTATCAGTATTTTATCAAGGTTGGCATTTTTCACGTGACTGACCTCATACTTTTCCTTTCTTCCCTATTCTGCGATTTACATGAAGTTTTGTGAGTTTGGAATTACCACTTGATTTAATGGTCGCTAGCTTACTTTCCATAGAGTGGTTAAGGATTACTGCCAAGGGCCTTTTTCTCCCCGTCCCCAAGCCCCTTGTCGCTTGACGAGAGAGAGAGAGAGAGCAGCAGCTCTTTGAGTTACTGAGACTAAGTTCTTAAAACAAATAGTTTGCTTTGCTAGCTTAAGGACCAATTAAACCCCTTAAGAGACCCCCATGATCCCCCACTGCAATACTTAGTACGAGCTCATTTGCCTGAGGCTGTCCATCTGCCCCAGTGTTGGTGGCAAAACTTGAGACGTATGCTTGTGTGTTGTAGCAAGTCCCCAGTGGACTGGTTGAGGTATTTACAAGCTCGCGCTCACCCCATTATTATCCCCAAAAAAACAGATAATTGTGTAATTTGTCAAAAATTAGTGAAGAATGATGATCATTTTTTCCATATCCCAGCGGAGGTAAAAACACTAGGTGATTTCTTCTCATCTATCCAATTGGTGGGAGGTAGCAGGTACCCCGTGGAATTAGTCGGTGTGTGCAAGCTGGCCCAGACACGACGGTTATCCCAACAAAAAAAAAATGATAATCAATTTTTTCTCATTACATTTTAAAAAAGAAGAAGGGAAAGATAATCATTTTTCTAAAGATACTCGCTACTCCCTTCTTGTGAGTCAATGTTTTTTCATTCCAAGCAATTCCAAAACACGTTGCCTTTCTCGGAAGGAAGGTTCAACCAGACTATACATCAAACAGAGTTAGAATAGACCCTCTTTCTGTATTTCATTCCTGATGCTACTTTTCCTCTGTTTATTTCGTCAAAAATTATATGTACCTTGTGAATCTCAAATCAGAATATTTTCTTAACCAAAGATCAAATTAGGAGTGTATGTTGATGTTATTGCTTGTTCATGCTGGATGCAAGTTATGTGGACTCTCACTACTCAATACTAACTTCAACTATTTTGCTTTGTTGGGTGGTACCACTTTAACTCTCTTGTGCATTCTAAGTAGAAAATATATCATATAAAAGTGAGAGAAACAGGTAGTGCTAGAATTGTTTCCCTAGTTACTAGATTGCTCATTTTGAATGTTTGGCTGGTTACTATTATCATTTTCATTGTGGAGAGAATTAATGTGAAAAATGATACCTATGATTTCTTACCATCTTTTTGCATTTGGGGTAAAAATGCATAAACCTGAATCTGGTCTGGCCATTCTGTAATTATTGATGTCCATCTGGCATTTGCTATTGGCATGTTTCAGTATATGCACTCTTGTTATTATTATTATTATGGCAAAAGATGATACCTATAATATGTAACCATCTTTCTCCATTTGGTAAGAAAATGCATAAACCTTTATCTGGTTCTGCCATTCTGTTGTTGAGGATGTCCATTTGGCATGTTGCTGTTGGCATGTTGCTGTATATGCACTCTTATAGGTAGAACGTGACACATTTTTTGTGCTTGAAATGTTAATTCTTATCTCTCTGATATGATGATATCCATTGTAATATTAGGTTAATCTTAGTTTCTGTGACTTATAGATGGAAATTTACATTTATTGTCAATAGTAATATCTAGTTTTTTCCTACAGGTGGTACCTACAGTATATACTGATGTCAGTGGGCATACCATCCAGTCAAATCAGGTTTTCTTATTCTTCAACTTATCTACCTGCATTTCTTGTGCCATAGACCCCAAAATCTGATGCAACAGCTTATTGTGTTTGCAGTTCTCTGTAACTGAACATTTTAAAGGCGCAGATGTTGGCCGCTTTCAGTCTATTCCTGGTGTTTTCTTCTTCTATGACCTTTCACCAATCAAGGTTTGGCATTGGGTTTCATCGCTCACATTTCTAAGTCGTTATTTTCACCTCTGAGGTCTATTTATCTTCTTAATCATAAACCTTAGTAAATTGTTACATCAAGCCTTTTTTCTGTTCATAAAATGGGTGACGGAGGCCTGGGGTAGTAGGGGAAAGGACCATTGAACCTTTACACTGTAGGAAGTAAGGTCACAATATTTCTTACTGCTTAAATCTTTAATCTGAAACTTTTTTGTTCTCATTTTTCACTCGTTTATGTCTTTCTTTAGTTTGAGAGTGAGGAGTAATTCTCCCTACCATCATAGTTAAATGTGTGTATATTGTGCTTAATTTCATCTCTTGCCCTGTCGCAGGTGACATTCACTGAGCAACATGTTTCATTCTTACACTTCTTGACTAATGTCTGTGCTATAGTTGGAGGTAATTACAGTCTTCACCCTTCCCTTGTTTATCTCTTAGCTGATATTGGTTAGATCTTGTATAAAAGAATTCTTCTATCCATTACTCATGACGATGTTTGACTAGACATGGAGTAGAATATGTTATTGGGACTATTATACTAGTGATGGTGAAAGAAATATTACAATTATGGTTGGATATTACTCTGTAGGATCACATTAAAAGTCAAATTTGAATAATTTAATTGAAATCTTGAAAGTCGTATAGAAATTGAATGGTATTAAGCATTTTCAAATTTCCTGAAATGAGAAAAATGTCATATAAATTAGATTGAAGGGAATATTAACTTCAAAAAATTTGTTGAATGTAGAACAACGATTGACATTAGGAGACAGAAAACTAATATTTCAGCATTAGGGTTACACCATCACACTGTGTACCTATTATTATATCTTTTGTTATTGAAAACTGAACCTTTGAAGAGAGGGGTGCTAAAGTTATTCTCAATGGCAGATGATGTACCATTCATTTTATTGGTTCAACTGAATCCAACCATTTCGACATGTAGTGTAAATTTATATGTGAAAAAGTACTAAATGTCAACAAATACTGAATTCTGTATCCATAATATCAAAGTGCAATAGTTCAGTGATAGAAACCTTAAGGTTTAACCTATCAAGTTTAAACCGTGGATCAGCCTTGCATAAAAGAGAACAAGATCAAAGATAAATGCTGGATTAGCCTTTGCTTATTCTTACTCCTTTGTTGGCTCTACTGAAGTACCTTTCATAATGTTATATATCTGCCATTTGACATGTATGCTCAGATCACACATGAAACATCGCTCTGTAGTTCTACAGCACTCATGCAACCTATAACCATCTAGGGTTACTCAGCAGTGAATCACATCAAGTAGTTTGATCTTTAATTGTAGTTGCCTTGTGATATTGCCTAGTTATCATGCTCCTATTTTTTGTGAAAAACCTGGTTATGTATTCAGAACAACTTTACTCGTTTCATTTCATGAACTAAAGGTGTTAGCTCGTTGTGTTTAAACCAAACAGCTTATGCATCACATCGGTGATATTTCTATATGGCGAACTCTGTTCTAATTTTCTGAAAATTGTTTCCAGGTGTTTTCACTGTGTCGGGGATACTTGATTCATTCATATACCATGGTCAAAAGGCGATTAAGAAAAAGATGGAACTTGGTAAATTTAGCTGATTGGTGGTGCTCTTATCCTATGCTTGCTGTGGCGGAATCATTCTAGGCAAGGGAGACCAAAATATTGGACTAGAGGTGACAAGGTTCAGCTAATTTTTGCATCACAATAGCTTTCCTTGAGAGAACATGATCGGATCTTAGCAAGGTGGCTCAAGGGGGAGGCTAGAGAGCCTTTGCTTTAGGTTTGCTTTAGATCCCAAAAATTTTTAATAGAAGATTCTATGATTTTATGTTCGCTTAGTCAATATTTATGTTTTTAGATTTAAAAAAAAAGGTACAAAAGACAGACGGATTCCGGAGAAAAAGGAGACATGGGAAAAACTCAACCCATCGCCCCCCCTCCCCCTCTCCTCTCTCTTTGCATTTCGACCCGGCTGCTCTGATGAAGCTGCCATTGTTCTGGGTTGGGTTAAAATGTACTCCTTCCGTCTCAAATTATCTGTCGTGATTTCTAAAATAGTTGTCTCAAATCATTTGTCATTTTGGAAGTTCAAGAGTAAATTAGTTATTTTTTTTCTTTCTATTCTAACGTTAATATTAGTTGTTCTTGAAGACTACAAATATCTTAATTATGAGTAAGTATTAAATGAAGAGAGATTATATTTTAAGACATTAATAAGGATAAAATTGTTATAAACCTTTCTTATTTAATATTCTCTTAAAAGAGAAACACGACAAGTAATTTGAGGTAAGTATTAAATGAAGAGAGATTATATTTTAAGACATAAATAAGGATAAAATAGTTATAAACCTTTCTTATTTAATATTTTCTTAAAAAAAGAAACAGGAGAAGTAATTTGAGACGGAGAGCGTATGCTTTTATGCTTTTGAATCCTCGACTTTTAAAATTTTGCTTGTCCAAAAAGTCACAACTCAAAAATTGTTATCCAGCTGCTAAAGCGGTTTCATAACCTCTCCCAAGGATCTAATTATATTTTTTTTAGGTTATGAAACCGCCTTATATAATTATGTTTGCATAATACTCGATTACAATTATCAGTTAAAATAAACTAGTGACCGTTGGTCCTAAAATTGACAGAAATACTTCAATAGGACCTATACTTTCTAATCTTCGTTCGATCCAAGATCATTTGTTATGTCAAAAAGAATATCAAATTGGCTACTTTAAAACCATTAGCACAACTTTACCTTTACATAAAGATCTTAGCTTTAAGTTGAAATTGGAAATTCAATCTCACATAAGAACAAAAAGATTCCAGAAAAATGCTAAATCATAGGATGCATATTCTTTCTTTTTGTTTTCTAATTGAAGATTCGCCTCACCCCACTTATTGGCATATCCCTTTCTTCAACTTGAATACAAAACCTCTTATAGAGTAGAATCCACTTTTTCTCTCTTCCGTTCACACGTGATTCTAACTTGTGATTGGATGTAAAGGAACAATGTCTAATGAAAAATAACTAAATATATACAATGACTTTTCCTTTAGTAGTTCGGAGTGAAATCACTACTCGTGAGTTTCTTCGAGAGGGACTCCAAATCCTCTAACTTACATTTCTAGTTTATTTAATCTAGATATGTGAGAATACTATTACGCTCATCCCAATCACGAGGTAGACCAAATTGAATAGTGTGCATATGCTAATAATTGTTGCAAAATAATGCAAATAGTTTTAAATGTAAAAAAGTTAGTTCTGATTAGTTAAGCAAGTGATATTATAACTTTGAAATAACTATAACGTAATGGTGGTAGTTTACATTAGTTTGAGTGGTAGCCGGTAGGAATGAGTAAAATCATAAATGAAGGAAGATAAACTTAACAGGGACGGGTAATGTACATAACTATGAAAGCAAATTACATGTTGCACGAATTTAGTACTCTTACGATATTTGGTAAAATAATTAAAAAGAGAAACGAGAGGTAGTGTAGTAAAAAATGCATGTACTTACTACCCTTACGATATTTGGTAAAATAATTAAAAACAGAAACGAGAGGTGGTGTAGTAAAAATTGCTTATGTCGTATGTTTACATCTAATCAAATAATTAATCTTAAGAGTCACAAAGTAAAATATTTAGCTTTATTGATTTGGCATAAACATCAAATTTGAGAAGCTTTTGCCGCAATAAGATTCTACATTCCACTAGTCTCTTCCTTTTCTATTGCTATGGGGGATCCTTTTGCCTGGTGTAAACTTGGACGAGGGAATGATTATATTGGGGGAATTTCATTTTCAAACGGTGGTAAAAGTCGGTTGGGAAATTGCAGTGGTTTTTCTCCGATTCCATTTTGATCATCATTTCCTTCCCCTTTTTTTCTGAAAATATGATTATCATTTTTTAGTTTGCGGCTGCTCATGAATCATTTCTCAATGACTAAGAAATTGAATAGCGTGCCCCATTATTACTTCCGTCAGTCCCATTTTAACTGTCGTTTTAGCTTTTTTTACAAGATATGAGTACAAATTATTCCTAAATAAATACAAGATATAATTTACTAAGTTATCTCTATTAAATGCATTTTAAAAATTAAATAGTATTAAAAAGAACTACTACTTCTTCAATAGTAAGGGTATAGTTGGAAACAAATAACAAATTTAATCTTGAATTCCTAAAGTAACAATTATTTCAGGACAAATATTTTGAGCTAAAGTAACAGTTAAAATAGAACGTAGGGGTATTATTTTAATCAGTATAGTCCACATAACTTCAAAGGGAATTCTTGACTTTTCTAATCAAGTGGTACTAATTTTTATCTTAAAGTCTTCATCTTTGAACAAGTGAATCAGAAATTCGTACTATAGAATGACTATTCTTTATAGAGCAAATTTGACAGAATAAATTCACTATGCAACTTGAGATAAAAATCCTATTTTCTTAAAAATTTTTCTTGGCGAGCCAGCAAGTTAAAAATCAACAAGAAAATAGATTTTAATTTTACACACTTTTAGTATGCCATTAAATCTATCGATTAGTTCCAATTCCAAGCTAGTTTGGATCAACGATACGAGTGCTCTATACAGTACACATTATTCGGGCGACAAATTCTACATAGTTATAGTTATTTAAGAAATTGCAATATTAATGTTCATTAGACGTTGTCTTTAAATTTTTCTTCTCTTTTTTGTTTGTACTTTTTCTTCAATAACTTTTTTCTCCAAGTGTAGCTCATGTGAATGGAATATAGGTTAGAGAAACTATAAAAGCTAGGTTGGTGATTAAGAAGTAGTACTACCATTATAACCAAGTTAGAAAATTGAAAGCAAATAATAATGATTGTAATTAATGCATTCCAACAACTTTCGTGTCTTACGGATAAACCATGTGAGATTCCCACCAAGTTGCTTCATAACTCTTCAACAAACTTTCACTCCTACTTACTAAATTCAAACAACCAATAAATGAACGGAGGCGAGATATTTAATGCACTAGTTTCCCTCTTGAGCTAGCTTTGAGCGTGACATTAGAGAAAAAGCAAACACGGGAAAATGACTAAATAATCGACCACTAGGAAATAATAATTCGATAAAAATTACTCCTTCCGTCTCATGTTAACAGTCGTGGTTACTAAAAAAGTATTCTCAAATTATTTTCCATATTAGAAGTTCAAGACAAAATTAATTATTTTTTTCCTTTTTTACCCTTAGTAATAATAGTTCTTGAAGATGGAGATAACACATAATTTGAATAAATATTCATTGAGAGAGATTCTATTTTAAGACATAAATAAGGGTAAATAATCCAATTCCTTTCCTGATTAATATTTTTTAAGGTCCGTGTAAAAGAGAAACACGACACATAATATGAGATGGAGGGAGAACCTATTAGAGCATGATATAATCACCAAAATTCTTAGTACAAAACTTGTAAAGTGTACTCTCTCTGGTTCACTTTAAGAGATTTTTAAAACTTTTTTCACACGTATTAAGGAATTTACCTTTTAACATTAAATAACAATGAAACTAATCATATTAACCTTAATTTACTTATTGAAAATATAACAAACTAAGCCTAGATGCCCCGGTTAGGAGGTGTAAGCGGTTGGCTTTGACAGGTACGAGAAGAGGTAGAGGGCGGCCCAAGAAGTATTGGGGCGAGGTGATCAGACAGGACATGGCGCGGCTTCCAGATTTTCGAGGACATGACTCTTGATAGTTAAGGTGTAGAGGTTGAGCATTAGGGTTGTAGGTTAAAGGGTAGTCGAGCGGTTCCTCTTTGTCCCGGTTTCCCTTTTTGTACCGACGAGTATGATAGTGCTTTGTCTTGCACTGCTAGCGATTTATGTTGTGTTTCACACCTTTGCAAAACATTTGTGTTACTACTGTTCATTTATTTGTTGTCTCTCACATTGCTGATTATTTTTTGGGTTTTGTTGTCACAGATCTATTATATCTGAGCTGAGGGTCTCCCGGAAACAGCCTCTCTACCCCCTCTAGGGTAGGGGTAAGGTCTGCGTACACTCTACCCTCCCCAGACCCCACTGGTGGGATTTTACTGGGTTGTTGTTGTTGTAAAATATAACAAATTACTCCTAAGTTCTTTACTCCAAGGGTAACTTTGGAAAAAAGAAATTAGTTCCTTCTTGATATCTGAAAAATCAAATATTGTGGACAACAAAAAAAGTAAAGAAATCATTTAAAGTGGACCGAAGGGAGTATTTGATTATTGTACTCCCTCCGGTCCAAAATAAGTGATTTTTTGGCCTTTTTCTTGTGGTCCAAAATAAGTGATTTTTTCAGATTTCAAGAATGAATTAATTATTTTTTTTCCTACATTGTCCTTGTAGTAAATAGTGTTGGAATATGTATTAGGAGTGTTTATGTGAAATAGTAAAGGTTAATATGGTCAATTTCATTACTAATTAATGCTAAAAGGTGGATTTCTTAATCTGTGTGAAAACATCCAAAAAATCACTTATTTTGGACCGGAGGGAGTAATATTCTTGTGGTAATACCACTGTTAATTTCTACGCGTACTCACATTCGCAATTAATATCCAAGTTGATGAACGGGACCCATATAATTCAGTGAGCCGTATGTATTAATATCATACAATTCGTGAATTTTACCTCGTTTTTGACTTTTTGATTTTATTACTATTTTCTTTTCCTTTCTAATTTTACCATATAATTGCAGTCATCAATGTATTTGCGTAATTCTTTTATATCGTTCTCACTTTCCGCATTCAACTTTTATTTTTATTTCTTTGGATTTTTTTTTTCTCCCAATTTAGGAGGATCTATAGTGTGCGTGACTCGAAGCCAGGACCTAATGGTCATGGATGGAAGTGTTTTACCAACTTATTTCTTTGGATTTGAATTGTAGTTTTGTGACTATAATTTCAATCTATAAGGTTCCAAATAATAGCTTCTCTTAACGTACTATTCACAGAGGATTCCGACCAAAAAAAGTATCAACAACATATCTAGTGTAATCACGTAAGTGGAGTATGTGCAGGGTGGAATGTACGCGAATCTTACTCTTACCATGTGTGAGGTAAAAAAATTATTTCTGATAGATCCCCGACTCAAGAACACCATTTTCAAAATAAATTAGAAATA